AGAATTTTCTGAGTCGGGCAATCACATCAGGATGTACGCTACCTTTGAGAGAATGCGGCACCCGCACATAAACATCACCAACATCCTTCCGTAGCACCTGACGGGCTACTTCATCTTCGTTGTCATAGCGGATGCAGCAGTCTTCATAACACACGCCAGGCTTTGACACTTTAGGTGTGTCACACCACTCAACCATGTAATTCAACAGCTTCTCTTCCGACAACTCACGAATCACCCGGCTCTTCACCTGAAGTACAACTCTGGCTGCGTGAATTCTCCAATGTCTGGGGTCTGTGGCCACTTCAGCTTCCTCATCTCCCCTTTGCCTTTTGATGTGATGGTCACCTAAATTACTAACTGCTGCCTTGATGCACTTTGATGCAAAAGTGACATCATCTCCATCAGCTCTCCACATGCTCTCCACAGCATCTACAAGTTTTTTGGGATCTCGTTCCACTTCTTCGGGTAAGCGCCGGAACAAGCCCTCAAGTTCCAAAAGAAATGACTGAACTCGACCAGAGTCTGGTGGAATGCCCTTGTATCTCTGGAATGCTCCAGTTGGATGCAGCATCCAGCAATCACCGTCGTGAAAGCGTAAGTACCTTTCACCCTCGATGATCCATAGCAGCAGAGCGTGTTCACGAAACGACATATTCACACTTCGCAAAGAATGTAAAGCCACTGCTCCCGTAGACAATCGGTTCATATGTTCTGAAAAATCTGGAACTCTAGTTTGAACTGTTGTCCGGTGCACCTGCACCAGTCGCAAAATTGTATCCTCGTTTTCGAGCGCTTCGCCCGCTTGGTGTTGAAACACTCTGTTCCCATCCAGCAGGCCATCAAACAACGTCTGAAAGTCTTCATCAGAAGTCAGTGCCCCAGGTAGCAATCTTCTCTTGCGCAGTTTGAGCCACGTTTCATCTGTAATTTCCTCTGCGAGGTTGAGGTCCACATCATGGTCATCAACTGCAGTTTCCCTTGCACGCTCATCCTCTTCTTTTTTTAGGTCCTCGCGCGCCGCCAACTCCAGGACATCTTCTGCCTCTGGCGCAGGCGAACCTTGCGAAGGTGCTGAAGCTGCTCCGCCCAAACGATCACCGGATAGTATTGCCATCATGGAGGCCGCTTCAGGCTGCATGTCCGGCACTTCGTCTATGAAGCCCGTTGGCCAAGTATCTGGATGAAAGCATACAACGAACATGCCTGACACAACAGCACCATAATACTTCTCCAACAAGAACTTGTACAAATTTAGTTGCAGACGGTAGTGCCACAGCGGAGCGTCGGCCAAATGGGCCAATGGGCCAAGCATGTGTTTCCCATACGATGCTTCCTTTTGCCAGAGAGAGCTAGACCGCTTCCAGTCATACAAAACTAAAGTTCCATCTCTCTTCCGCGCAACGAAATCAATCGCTCCTGCTATGCGCTCGTCAGTGCCCCAAATTTTCCATTCTGTTCGGTAAATCTTTTCCTCCAATCCTTGCAAGAATTTTAGGAATAGCTGAACCTCCGTAGTCTGAGGACAATCTCCACCATTCAAAAGGCACTCTAAGCACGCGTGCATTCTTGTGCCAAGCAAAGCTGCCTCTTCTCTCTGCCGCGTCCATTTCTGCAAAATCTGAGTCCTACTCATAGCAATGGCATCCACTAATCTTGTCAGCGCTGGGTGACTGCGCTTCAATGACTGAGCAATTCGGCAGATTTCCTCAGAACTGGACCCACGGACATCCAGCAAAGAAATCAATTCCGCAGCCTCTGGGCACAGTGACAGGTCGGCAAAATCTTGTGGGTGAATGTATGACTTCAAATATCCAGGCCGCGGCCAGTTTTCACTGCGCATCATTCTTTCGATGACTGCGTCTGCCTCAAAGGGCTGCGCAAACCTGTGGATCAAGCCAGTGACGCTCCCCTGTGTCTTAGCTCCATTGATGTAATACGTGTGTGTGTCAGGGTGAAAGGTCAGAGCATCATCGCGGGGATGAGCGTGCAAGACCTGAAAGTGATCTATGATGGGCACTTGGTCTGCTTGCGTGACATCTTCAATGCTTGTGCTGCGAACAGAAGCTTGTAAAAGGAACTCAGGCATCACATTGCTCATCCCACTCTTGCAAAGCAAGCCTTCTCCAATACGCTTGGTAGAGCTTATCTGCCTGGTTGTGGTGGCGCAAAGCGCCGTCATCTCCATGCGTCGCCGCTTGGTGTGTCTGGCGACCAGCTTGTTATGTGCAATTGCGCTGGCTTCCAGCTCCGACAAATTCTGCCTGTTCTGAGAAGCACCGCCATAGGCATCAGATTTTTTTTGTGCTGCTGCAGCCTGATTATAAGCACGAACAGCAAGATTTAATCGAAATCGTCGATGGAAAACACATGTGGGAGCGCTCGTCAGACCTGGAGGAGATCTGTGCGCGCACCCTGCAAATGAGATAATGCTTAAGCAAAGTAATGCCCTGCTGAGCATCCTCACGCGGTGGCGGGAGCTGACTGCAAGTTGGCGGGTGCTGACAACATCCAGAAGAGAGAGGTCCTTTGCAATCTCTGGCCAAAACCATGCAATCATGGCGGCCTCCAGCTTGACAAAATTCTGGTTGTGCAGCGTTCTGATAAAGAAGCACGCTGCAGTCAACCTGACACGCCACTCGTCTACTGTCTGGCGTCCATCAAATGGAACAGGCAAAATCCAAAACAAATATGGATATCTCTTGATGGTCCCCATCACTGGGGACACTCGCTTCATAAATTCTGCAAGCTGGCGCCAAGCGCGGCCACTATCGGCCATTCGCGCACTTCCCAGCAGATAATTGTGCACATTGATCTGGAAAGCGTTAGGAACCTGCGCTGTGCTGCCGCCCAAGACGTCAACATCAAGCGCAACCCTTTGCTTCGAAAACGCACTGCTAGCCGCCAACAAGGATTTTGTGCAGCAGAGGTCTGCTAAAAGGTGCAAGTGGCGGTGTAGCACGTGCCGTGGATGAACGTTATCGTAGCAGAAGCACAAACATAGGAACGTCAGCTCCCCCGCTGGGACCATACTGAAAGCTGTATTCTTATCTCTGTTCTCTTGCAAAGCATGTGCCCCTGATGAAAGTAACACATGAAATGTTGTGAGGCTATGTAAGAGAGCATAGTGCAAAGGATTGTTTCCCTGGTGATCTGTCAGATTTGGGTTTGCCCCGTGCGCCAACAACATTGCCGCTTCACCGGGGCGGTCATGCATGGCGGCGCCGTGCAAAGGTCCATGCCGCCCAATTGGTACAAAATTGACGTCGGCGTTGCCTTGAATAAGGGCCTTGACGATTGACAACCTTCCAAGCTCGACAGCCCAGGTCAAAGGAGCGTCCAGGAGAACACAATTGGGGTTCTGGCCTGCTTTCAGCACCCGAAACACTTCAGCAGCGTCCGATGCTTGAATTGCTGCGATCAAGTCTTCTGTGTACTCCAGAGTTGGAGGCTTTATCACAATGGATACTGATGAAGGACTGCCTAAATCTAGCCAGGAATCAAAGGCTCTGCAGCAAACTTCCACGCAAAAGTGTGGCAAGGCAAAGAAAGAGCTCGCAGCAGATCGCACAATGTGCGACAAGTTCTCGGACTGTTGCTCCGGCGCTAGTCGTGCCCGTAGTAACAACTCTCCAGACAAAGCAGAGGTGATGTCCACATCTGTTTCAGCAAGCGCACCTCCTTGCACATCAAAGAGAGCAGATGATATGTCTGTAAAAAAGACACTTTGCTTTTTGAAGGCTGAGCAGCACATCCATAGACTCTGCAGCTCTGATGGTTGGAGGTAGTTGGCATACTCTTCCATGTTTTTGACAAAGATGTGCTTCATTGTGAGGCGTGGCCAGCTGGCGTCCATCAGGAGAGCCCTCACTGCAGCCGATTCCCTGCAGACAGAGAACGGTGTGTCGCCCTCCATATCTTCCTGCAAGGCGTCCACGCCTGCAGCAAGGAGAACCCGTGCACAACCCAGTCTCCCAAATGCGGCGGCGCCATGCAAACAGGTGGCACCGCGGCCATTCACAGTATGTGGGTCAGCGCCCGCTTCCACTATTTCTTCAGACAGACGGGTGTATCCTGCAAGGACACTGGCCTCTAATGCACTTAGGCCTTCCCCAACGACATGAACGTCGGAGCCACCTTCCAGCAAGGTCTGACCCACCACTTCCGACTTGCCAAAGATACAAGAGTACACCAGAGGAGGAAAGCCATCATAGAGCGCGTTTGGACATTGGCCAGCAATCAAGAGAGCTCGCACCTTCCAGACATTGTCTGATCGGATTGCAGTAAAAAGCGCGTCAGTGTCATTGTCGTGGACAGGTGTTTTGATAACCTGCAGCAGCTTTAGGCGTTGGGTGTTTTCCCACGTTTCAAAGTCGCTCAGGATCTCCCCACCAGCCAGAAGTTTCACTGAAAAAAATGGAGCTTGCACTTGTGTGGCCACTTCTCGTCGAATGTGTGCCACGGAGGTCTCAACGCCTGGGGCGTCATTTAGAGACAATGTACACATCTCCTCTCCGCTGCAGGCATGGATGACCTGCACCTCAGCCAAGCTGCCCCCCAGCTTGTCTGTGCGAATTGTGGTCGAACCACCTTTCACGTCAGTGAACATTCTGTGGGCTGCCTCTGGGCTGGTGCAAAGAGTTGTGTTGACACTCTTATCATCAATCATTTTTTGCCATAGCTTTTAGTTCTTGCCGCTGACAAAAGCATGCGCTTTCCCAGGAACGCTTGCTGACAGAACATTCGCATGGGTTTGGTAAGATGGCTAGGGGCATCGAACTCTGAGACAGTACACGCGAGAATTCGCGCCCAAGTGATATATAAATTCGTAATCTCTTGTTGACTCTGGCCACGTCGCTCACCGAAACCCTACTGATCTGCTCAGAGTTGATGTCAGCCAACTTCACCAATTTGGATTGGGTTGCTGTAGCGTCAGCCCACCACTCAGACTCCGACAGCGGCGAGAAAGGTGAAGGCAAAGATTCCCAAACGCAACAATCGTACGCAAGGAGTGTTTTGAAATCGAAACGCACATTCTCAAGCCAGTCTAGCCGTCCTAGCAAAGCAAGTTCACTCTGCCTGGTGGGACTGTGAGGTGATTCAGATCCTCCTCTTGCATCTAGGGTGCAAGTGATGAGCTTCTCTTGATCTGAACGTGGAATAATTTGGAATATCTGCTCAAACCGCGCCAAGCGGGCAGACTTCACCGTAGAGTATATGGTTCCCTCGTGAGGTCGGTGGCTAGATTGGATGCGGCATGAGCCATCCTCGAAGACCCGAAAGCCACAAAAATGATTGTCTTGGTATAAGACATATTTTCCAGAGGGTAGATTGTTGTCATTGGCCGGGAACACAACCTCAATGTCGTACCTCAGGCGAAATGATCATTACATTATAAGCGCTAGGAAGAAAGGGTCTTACTTACCCGAAAGGTCAAGGTGCCCCAGCGGCTCGAGCATCTTCTGGCCATCTCTCACGGCCCAAAAAGGTCCACTCTTATTGTAGGGTACCTTTACGCCAAGCGCCCGAAACGAGTCCACAAGGCACACTTCTTCGTACCGGTGCCTGAGCTGCAAGAATTCATTCTGCTCTCCTTACAATCCCCACCCCATGGACGTCACTCTGTTTCGTTCTAGTCAGGATGCGGAAGCTGATTCTTTTTCACAAGGTCCCGCCGAGGATGGTTAGGAACACCTTAGATGTGACAAGCTAGCTCTGTCAATAAATGGTGATGCCAACCTTGCTAAGTGTCCATCTTCTTGAGGCTCCTTCTTGATGAGCTCCTCTTCCGTCTTCACAATGTCTGCGTACTCGGACCAAAGAGCTTCATATTGTCTCTCAACGCGAAGCCGATTTCGGGCGATCTTGGCCAAGGCATTCTTGTGAACATTTGCCCAATAGATATCTTCACGCCGCCTCCGCTTTTGTCTGTTGCTGAGCTGCCTCGGTCAGATCAGTGTGACTTGATCACTAGCAAATGCCGATGATGAGCCGATGATGAGCCGAGTTACTCCCAAGTATCCCCGCGCTGAGGTTCAGCAGGCTGCAGCAAGAAATGCGCAGCGTCTTCGCCGCACCTTACCATGCATTGGAACAGCATGGCTAGAAAGAAGCATAAACACTGAGGAACAAGCGTTTGATCTTGGGCAAAGTCCTGTGTTTCTTCGGAGGATATCACGGCGCCCCCTTCCTGGACAACGTAAACTCATATAGGGTTTAATTTGTACAAGTCAGCCTTGTGCGCCTAGGTCATGCACAGTCCTGGCAGGGAACGCCTTTTCCACGGAATCTCTTGTAAAAAGCGGGGCGGCTGATGCGTTGCCAAGCACCTTTCTCACATCGGCCTTACAGATGTAAGCAAAGTGAATCTGGTAAAAGGTATTGTATACAGCGATACGAAATGTTCATTTCTCTCTGCAGTGGCAGGCTTTAAGATTGAGACCCAATGAATAAGGCTTGATTGCGTCAGGGCCATCCATCATTCCACCGTAAGAACCTGTTGCGCGCAAGGACCAGTCTCATTTGCGCATTCACACGAAGTATTGTCCACATGCGCACATGTCCGGCTCCTGAACAAAGCTCAAAACGATCAGGTTGCTCACAACCTTGGAAGGATAAAGGCAAGCCAAGCAGGACGCCGTGATGTTCGGTTCAGTCTTCAACCAACAGACTCGCCAAGGCACGGCGGACAAGAAGAAGCAAAATGCCGCGTCCATGAATAGGTCCGAACATATTCTGCTCGTACAAGCCCACAGGGTCAAAACCGAGCATGAACATTTCGGACCTTGGATGAGTCTTCGGATTTTTTGAGGCGTATGACTTTTTCCGCGAACGTAGACAGACTCACAATTAGCCGAGTTTCTGGTTTCCAGGTAGACACGGGAGAGTAGTTTGAGCACTGCAAGGCTGCATGTTCAGGTTCTGCGCAAGCATTAGCAAGCACGAGGCATACCCCAAATCATTTTGTGAGAAATAACTCTATCATATGAAATGCTTCTGAGTGTTCTGCTGAGCAGCTTGGGCAGTTGCAGTTGTCACCTTTTGTTGCAACATTACTGAAGCGGACGCAACATGCAGAGAGTCAGCGGCAACAAGCAGGTCTACTGTGATCACACAGAAGACTCTGCTCCAAAACTAAACCAGCAGTGAAAGAACGTACCCACAAGACCCGGTCTTGAGATTTCACACGCCGCCCCTACAAAATCAACAACACGCAGCGGCGCTAAACTCTAGCGCCAGATGCAATATCCTAACTTTCACATAATCAGCAGATTTGGCGCGTGCGCAATACATATTCCCTTTGCCGTCCACTGGATCAAAGAACTTGAGCCCCTAAGAATACAATACGCATATACACACACATATGTATATATACATATATATATATATTGTATATATATATCTTTTATATATATGTATATGAACTATAGCTATGTTCCCGCAGCCATAAGAGCTCTGTTCGGGTTCGGCCGCCGCTCACTTTCAATCGCTGCCACAAGGTTGTGGATATGCATCTCTTTCAGGAGATTCATTCGTAGCTCTTTCTTCGGCTGCCTTTCTTAGATTTTTGTTTTTTGAGCTTGGCAGCTGTCAACGCGAGGGAGCAAGCAAGTCCTTCTGGACAACGAACAATGAATCGACGCGAGGCAGACAGTCTCATTCTACATTTATCATTGTCTTGTTGTGTCTATATTTAAAAAATATAAACCTGAACCATGGCTGTCGAGTGACAATGTCCTGAGGCATAGTTCATGCATTTCCAAAAAATATCTCAAATTAATCTTCAAGTGGTCGGTAAAGGGGATTCCAAGAGAGGTTGAGAGATCTGAACGTTCGGACCCTGGTCTGTGGTACATATGGGATGAGCGACCTTAGGACTGTTCAACCTCTCTTGGTTTGGCAGAAGGGTGCGCATGTATTGACAGACTAGCCTGACAGAGGCTGACCAGCGGATTGACACAATGTTCTATGGTATCAAGTCTGTTTCTGTTCGAAGTAGAGTATTGGATGTCTGGGAGTGCCCACTGTGATGTGGAGCCTGCAGTCAAGATCCGAAAATCCTACTCCGATCCGGAGCTCTGAACCCTCACCTGACAGGTGTGGAAAAATCTAATGTTTTGCAAAACCATTCAGGTCACTTCGACAGAATGAATGAAATCCCGACTGCCGCGCGTACGATAGCCTTTTGCAATGCATCGATTCGATGCAAGCTGGAAAATCAAGAGAGCGCAAGTAGGAGAAATAGGGCATCTTCATGCCACCTGAGGGACATGGGTTCACAATGTTTGCAAGTCAACAGTCTGGCAGGCCCTTCCACGCGCTGTGAGTACACCCTTTTGATGACATAGCCTTCAAACGATATAGAATCCTCCATGCTCACTGCTATACAAACACTAAACAAACACGTGCGGTTCAAAATCACAAAGCAAAGGATCTGTCCAAGACTAGATGTTTTAAAACTTGAACGCTGAACGCAGTCGAAAATGTTATGTTTCGGACCGATATTGCTTTGCTGCTCTTTTACCTACGCGACGCTTCGAATCTGAAGATCGCCAGAAAAGAATGCCAAGCGGCCGTTCTTGGAATGACGACATTCACCACGGGGACAGTAGGCGAGCCTTCCAACGAAGGCAGTTGCAGGAGTTGTGGAAGGATGTGGAAGGCAAATGATCCAAACTATTCCGGAGATGTCAACAAAACATGTACACATACAGGATAAAAGCGGCTGCTTTTCTTTAGCAAGCATTTGGATATCTGAGGGGCTGCTTTTTTTCGCCATGTGGTCCCTTCAATGGCTTGCGCAACCCCTGACGCCGTACCCCCACCTTTGCGCATCATTGGACTCACCAGGCGTTCCATCCAACCTCTGGCGACGTCAGTCGGCTACTCCCGAAACGAATCTCTGTCTGGTTGCGAGGTGGAGTCCAATGACTATGGATCATGGCGCTGGAGGGTTTGTTGACGACCAAATGAACACAATTGATTCTTTCAGGACTGAGTAGAGGCCAACGATTCAATGTTCTTCTGGCATAATTTAGATTGCTTCTTGAATTGCATGTGAAGAAGCATCAGCTTCCTTTGGCCCACATAGCCATCCCATCGGCAATCGCTTCAGCTGCAGCGGCGGCGTTCTTGTACTTGATCTCTATGCTCCGCTTGTCTTCAGATCGCTTCGTCCATGTGATTGCGCCTTATGCCGGACAAAGAGAAAACCGTATTAAAAGATCGATTTGTCATTAGTGAGGACCATAGAGTGTGGGATAAAGTAGCTAAGAGGAAACTCCCACACCTTCTCACCTCACGTGACAAGTGCAAAAAGAAAGACAAAAAGAACAACACAGAGACACTGATACATGAAGATAAACAAACAGAGGGAACAAGTCAAATTGCAAGATGCTACATCCAAAGCTTTGTTCTTCACTTCACACGCTCACAAAATCAACTTCTTCAACGGCTGGCAACATGCAATGTAAACAAGCGGCATTTCAATAGTTTGGTGCAGCGAAGGCACCATACTTTCGAAACGCATCGGTCACATCGTCGGACGACTCATCCACATGGGTCACCGCCGTCACCCGCCTGCGCTTCTC